TGTTCCATACACTTCAGTATACACTGTACACAGCAGATTTGGATTTTCACCATATTTCTATGTTTCATATTCCAAAGTCAAAACCATACACTGTTCTTTTTTTAATTTTATTTAATTCTGATTTGGAAATTTGCATAATTTAAAAACATTAACATTTAATTTTTTCATTTTCATAAATCTCAACATTTTGAATAATTTTTCCAATTTCAAAATTTGAATTTAGTTTTACCAATTCTGTTAAAACAAAAAACCAACATAAAAAAGTTAAATTATGATGACATAGGATACTTTTATAAGGAATACAAAGGTACTAGTCAGAGGATTAGTGCTACATCTTTGATAACTTAATAATTTCATTCAAGTATTTAAAGAACATGTCACCGAAAGAAACTAAGTTGAGACCAGACGCAGTGCCAGGCTCAACTGCAGCTATTAAGGAGAGGATACGCATAAGATCAGATGAGACACATCCAAATGTTACACAGAAGACATTGAACCAAATAGAGAAACTGTTGGAACAGTGGCAAACGAGAGGATTGATTCCAGCAGATGATCAATGATCATCTGCTGGAATCAATCCTCTCGTTTGCCACTGTTCCAACAGTTTCTCTATTTGGTTCAATGTCTTCTGTGTAACATTTGGATGTGTCTCATCTNCTCTGTAAGGAAGTGGCAGATTTTTTCCGGTAGTCTATTTTCAAATTTTAGCGCACTCGAGCTGGTTTCTCCAAAATTACCTACCCCACCTTTAAGAGCCCACTGCAACTTATCAGTTCCTCTGCTTTTACTATTTATAGGTGTGTGTTGGAGTGATTTTTTAAATTAATTTTTTTTATTGTATTCATAAACTACTGACAACATTTCTCTGTGTGGGAATTCAACAGACATTGGAATGGAATGGCTGCCATACATGCAGAGATGAGAGTGGTCTCTTATTTTTTCCAGAGCTGTATATATTTGGTAGTTGGCAATTTCAAGGCATGGCGTGAATACTAGTTTCTGATAACCTTACACAGGACAATGTTATGCATTTACAAACCATAAACAATGACACACGACACAAAACATGCATAAAATCAAACGTTTACAACAGCGTCTATAAAGCGTTGGGGGAGTGTCTTACCTTTGAGTAGTCATCAGACAGGATGTCAAAAGCCACAACTGTGAGAAACAGAGAAAGAAGTTAATTAATTAAGACGGAGATGACATGAATGCCTTAAGTCAAGAAGGTGTGTCCACTGACTTACCATCTGAATCCAGACAGCGCTCAAACTTTAGGGACAGCTGGTATGTGTCATAGCAGCGAATCCTGGGTTTGTAAGTACCTAAAAGTAAAAGGAAAACAGATGTGTTTATTTTATTTTTTTTATCCACCATGACATGTTATCATGACATTAACTCTTGCTTTATAATCCACAGTTTGTCTTACCTGTTGCCAGGATGAACTGCCCATCCTTGGACACTTTGATGGAGGTGCACACTGTGGGCATCTCAAAGTCCTGGATGAGCTCAATCCTGCGCTGAATGTCTGGAAAAAAATTGATTATTCTTACATTAGTAGACATACAATTAACCTGTCTGCAATAATTAAATTGAATGGGTCAACTCACCAACATCTTTCTTCTGTAACTGCCTTTTCTTCCGATCTGACAGCCACTGCATTAAAAAGGTATATGTGATTAGGAATTGTCCTAAAAATAACCAATAAAACAATACTTACAGGAACACTTGGCTCAAACTTTATAGCTATGTTTCATATGAATTTCTTCCGGTTTTATTTCAGCTTTCAAACCTTATAACTATGTTTTTTATGACTCTGTTCTGGGTTAATTTAAGCCTATATCACTGTTAGAGCATTTACTGAAATGAGCTGTTCATTGTAGGATATGAAAACTAAAATGAGTGCTCCCTAATGTTTTTTTTTTTTTTAAAAGCAAGAACTGTCAGTTTATTTATATGACACATTATATTAAGTGAGTGTTTTCTTGAATATTGTTCGTTAGTGAAACGTTGTCCATGAACATTGTCAGAGCTATAGTTGTCAGGGCTACCTGTGTTAGCTAACAGTTAGCTCCTGAATTGAACGCCAAGCAGTAACTTCATCCCTCTAAGTGCGCTCGAGCGTTTCGTGCTTCTTACCTCAGGCAGAGATTTTCCATGACTTAAATTATAAATCTTCACGTCATTCACACTAGATATCTGCATTGTAGAAAGTGAATAAGACTCTGGTCACACATAACACTGTTACTGCACACCGGCAAGCAGCATTGAATCCACGTTGTTGCTGCGGCCGGGGTAAAAACAGGAAGCGAGGGTGAGTTTTCCGAAATAGGTCCGACTAGAAACTACTGTGACTGAGCATGGTCCCCCTCCTCTCCAAACTTAGTCTGGGTTTGAATAATAAATACAAAAACAATGGAGTTTTTGGATTAAAATCCAAAATTGGTGTATTTGAAATCTTGTGAATTCACGTTAATTCTTTAGTAGCATCCAGCCCTAAAAGTCACCATTCTATTTGATGTTTTCTTGAGTGTGCGAAACTATTTCATACACACTATGGCGCATTCAAGTATTCAATTAAAATTCCTTGTGATAAAATAAATAATACAAAATGATATCCATACAAGAATGTTGGGACTCAGTTTACAAATATTATTTATAAAATGTCTACAACTCCACAAAAGGGGTATCTTTATGTTGCACACTTGTTTAGCATAACATTTATCTAGACATACGGTTGGTTAGCTAGCTGTATCTGCTTTTATTTATTATTTATTAATAAGGATGACATTACAATAGTTTTTAAGCCGACACCTGTGGTAAAACCAGAAATACATACGAAGAAAGGTAACATAAACTGCGCCAATATATATATATATATATATATGCCACACACAGCTCCATATTGTATTTTTTAAACACAATGTTGTATTTTGGCTACAGGCTAGGGCTTTTCTATTTATATTGTTCCCATACATAAATGCAAATCCCATGTGGTACATGTTTATTACAAAAAACCCAGCACACATACGTATATTAATAAAAAGAAAGATATTTTTTTCCAAGAGTCCATGAAGAGTGACAGCTGTACCCAGAGTGATGTCACAGCCTCTTGTGGGCTGTCTGGATGTCAGTGAGTCTTAGGTGGAGCTGCTGCTCAGACTTTCCTACACTCACAGTTGGACTGACACAGCACTGTCATGAAGGTAACCTGACGGTAAGAAACATTGCTTTGAAATGTTCTATTCTATTCAGTAGTTTCTTTTATTAGTAGCCATAATAACAAAGGAAACTTGTTGATATAATCCAAGATTACTCAACGAATAATGAAAACAGAATAATAATTATATCACGGAAATATGATTTTAAGAAGTCAGCTTAGTATGAAAGCCTATACATGTCTCTATGATGGAGTTCCTCTCATTCTTTGTGTTTTGCCCTGGGTCACGGTGTTTTTGGTGCCAAAGCCTATATTTTTGGAGGATTTGGACTGGAGGTCTCTATGTGACACACTGGGAGTCATGACAGACTTTTGGCTGATTTCGGTCCCTTTGGACAAGACCAGTTTAACCAGTGTGGAGAAATTGAAGCGCAATCTTGCCAAAACCAACCTGGCCTCCTGCTGCAGGTTCTCCATTCCAGAACTCAAGGTGAGGCTGTGTATCGTCTCTCCTAATGATGAGCCCGGTGGAGTTTAGGAAAGTAAACAACATCAAATACAAACATTATGACAAGCTAAGGGAGTCTGAGTATAGCATTGTTAAACAAATAAGAAGAACTGTATGTTAGCTCTGTGTTTATCCCAGTACAGTAGAGTGCGGTGAGGAGGATGACGGTGTTTGGTGTCCTTCTCTGGTGAGGGGTTAAAGGCTCAGGTTGCTCTCTACAGTTTGAGGCAACATTTCCATCCGACCCAATTCACTTAATGTCATCCATGTTCACCTTGGCTACCAGGAGTCATATTGTAACTGCAGTTTTTAATTTCTATCAAGAGTTCTAACCTGAAAAGCATTAATACAATTATACGTGCCCATCTCCTGGTTGAATCTTAAGTGGAGACACCCCAGGTGAACAAGATAGAAACAAAAAACTAAGAGATATCACCATAACCCCAGTAAATTACTAACATTGAGGCCATTATTTTACAAGTTTTCTGATAATCTAAGATGAAATATGCAAATGACGCTTTATCTTATGAAATATGTGCAAAAATTGGATAAAGCAAAGTGGTTTTATTTTGTTGACATATAACAGTCGAAGGTTTTACTCAGGTCGTTTGGATTCTTGTTTTTGACACTCCATGAATCAGAAATGAATAAAATAAAATCTGCAGAAACCCTCGGAATATAGATATGAAGTGTAGATTTCTGGTGCAGAGCACAAGAAGAAAAATCATGTTTATAAAGGTCGCCTTTTAAGCATAATATGTGTTTCAAAATTAAAAAATATACTACAAGGCCCTGATACTTAAAAAAAAACTAATAAATATCACCATGAAAATTCCTCAGTTGATAAATATATGTAATCCCGCCTATTCAGCAATATGGAAATCAATTGTGTGTCAAAACTCAACCAAGGTCCCACTACAGGCAGTTATTGGCGACAGTGAATTGAGGCACCACCTGGGGGAAGACTATTTCTAAGCTGTATAAGGGCCTCCAGGAGCTAAGTGGGTTGAACACGTCCTACATAAAGGAAAGGTGGGAACGTGAAGGAAACTTTGTCTTATCGATAGGAGAGTGGGACAACTTAATTGAAAGGCAATGTAAATCAACCAACTCACTAAAATGGAGAGAGTTTAACTGGAAAAATCTGGTCAGATACTTTATAACACCAGTGCAGTCAAGGAAGGGGCAGATGGTGTGCTGGAGAGGCTGTGGATCTGTGAGGGCCAATCACCATCATGTGTTTTGGGAATGCCCTGGGATGGTTCACTATTGGGAATCAATAAGAGATGGAATGGAAAGAGCTTTACAAATTGAGATTGATTTGGGACTCAATATGAGATGGAATGGAAAGAGTTGAGATTGATCTCTGCTTTCAAGTACTGTACCTGGGTAAGATGCCACAACAGCTTCTTGGCTTCTCAACAATGTACATGTTTAAAATAATGCTAGTCGCCAGTAAAAAAGCCATAACGAAAAAATGGTTAAGCCAAGTACCACCTACTCTAGCAGACTGGTTTAATGTGATGCATGACATTTTTGTTATGGAAAAATTAACATTTGCTCTAAGACTCAAGACAGACACATTTGAAAAGTATTGGAAGGGATGGATTGAGTTTGTCAACCCGTATAGATCAGACTTCAACTAAAAACTCAATTTGTAATGTAACCCTCTGGTTCTCTGCGACACACAATTGTTTTTTTTGTTTGTGTCTCTGTGTTTTCATGTTAATTTGTCTGTATGCGTGATTCACATTATTTGCTTTGTATTATTTCAAAAAATGTAAGATGCTCTGTAACTGTTAATTTTTTTTGTGCAAATAAAAAAAAAAAAAGAATTGTGGAGCAGAGTTTCCGTTAGCAGGTAATTACCGGACTATGACCGGATATGCTGATGTTTAAAACTCAGTTAATGGGAATCATTTTTATATTGTTTCAGTTTATAATCGTAACAGATTGAACAATTCAGATTCATTTTTCAATAAATGATTCCACAAACAACAAACAACATAATTATTACATTCAAAGAAACTACTTGTAGTAGATGAAGTACATTATTCAAAAGTTTAAATTAACTTCTTCATTCTCAATTCCTCTCTCTTTCTCCTCATTTTCAGATTCTGTCTCTATCCTTTCTTCATTCTCTGAGTCTGAACTGTTTTGGGCATCATTGTGTTTTGTGCGTTGGTGTTCGGATCAGGGGGTCACAGGTTAAAACCCCACTGCAGTCAGCATGTCGTTGTGTCCCTGGGCAAGACACTTCAACCCAAATGACCCCTGTGGGAATTGCCCACAGT